CTCGGTAGGCTGGATGTCCTTCGTAAACTTTTGTCATAGGTTTTTGTCATAATTCTTGTGTCAACAGAATCCACCAGAAGGTACCACCAGAGTCAATAACCAGGGATGTTTCCAAGGTAACGGGGTCCAATAGCATTTGGGTTTAACCCTTATTGTGCAGTGAGGATTCCAACAGGGACAAACTCCTCAGCTGTTGACCTACCACTGAAACAGACTCAACCCAGTGCTACCATTGATGAAGCCACTGCCACGAGACCCAAAAGTTTGCTAAACAAATTTCCAGGAATCAGAATTACTGGAATTGTCCGAGTTGATTTGGACAAAGGTGAAATGAATGGACAAGTCGAATTTACCCGTTGTGCATGAATTCAGATCTACCCCTAGAAAACATCTCAGGTTACTTATGTAACCATGGGTTCCTGAGTAGGGAACGAGACACTGCGTCCTCTAGCTTCCTGCCATGCTTCGGACGCAAGCTTTAGACGAAGAAGCGGATGACGTGTTCTCCCAGCGCCTATTTATACTATAGTCGCACCGGTAGTGACGTCATAGGCTGTGCCAACATGTTGTTGGTGTTTTTTGAACGTATGCTTCAGACACGGGTCACGTCGAGGCGTCCCCATAGCGACCCCTAGAGGAAGCATTGTCTCATTCCCTACTCAGGGAACCATGGTTACATAAGTAACCTGAGATGTTTTCTAGGGGTAGATCTGAATTCATGCACAACGGGTAAATTCGACTTGTCCATTCATTTCACCTTTGTCCAAATCAACTCGGACAATTCCAGTAATTCTGATTCCTGGAAATTTGTTTAGCAAACTTTTGGGTCTCGTGGCAGTGGCTTCATCAATGGTAGCACTGGGTTGAGTCTGTTTCAGTGGTAGGTCAACAGCTGAGGAGTTTGTCCCTGTTGGAATCCTCACTGCACAATAAGGGTTAAACCCAAATGCTATTGGACCCCGTTACCTTGGAAACATCCCTGGTTATTGACTCTGGTGGTACCTTCTGGTGGATTCTGTTGACACAAGAATTATGACAAAAACCTATGACAAAAGTTTACGAAGGACATCCAGCCTACCGAGTCCAAAAGGTCCATCATCTCATGTGGCACATAAATGGAGATGATGCCACTTTTGAGCCATTTCCTTCTGGAGAATTGACCTATCAGTATGCCCTGCCACCTTGGTTACTGTTGAGTTTCTACTGTCTTACAATGACAGCTGTCAAGTGTGAAAACGTTGTCCCAAGATGTTTAAAAAAAAGATTTGGACACAGACGGACCATCATTCAAGTGAGACTTAAATATGCCATGGAGGGATATATAAAATATTTCAAAATAAATATGTAAAAATACAGATCACAATGCAAACAGGAGAAGTCTCATGTTACGGTTGTTACGATTGCAATGACCGCATGTACCGCAGGGTAAGATTAAATTAATTTACATTTAACCACTTTAATATGGAGAGGCACTGAAATATAGACCTTCGTTTATGTGTTTTTGACTTACACTGTACATGACGTGAGAACAGTTTGCTATTTATGCTTGTACATTAGCACTGACTCACTAACTTTATTGTTAGTTTTTAGTTTGTTAGAAAAGTGTAACTTAATGAGAGTATGACAACCAGAAAATGAACATTTTTGTCTTCATTGGGATTGGGTTGAATGCTTAGTGACATTTTTGCTCTGTTTTGTTTGGGTTTAGGAAATATAATAAAATAAATTCCATTGCCCATCCTCTCAGGAGACATGGAATCAGTGTTACAAGTACCCTAGGCACATCGTTTTCCATTTTTGTAGCATAAACACTATCAAAACGATGAAAGCTTCGGATCTTCCAATGTTTCTCTATTGCGCTGAAACCTAAAGATGTCCGAGTTCCGATCCCCGTGCAACTGATACTCGACTGCCATTGGCTCATCTGCATTCAAGGGGAGGGGCTTACCAATAGGTCAATTGCAGCCGTCATGTTGGTGTCAGTAGTTTTTTACATAAAGCACCAGGGGGAATACGTTTGTGCCCCGTGGGAAGTTTAGCATGGCACATTCTTATTTTGGCATAGAACATGCTTCTGGCACTGAAGGTGCTTCATGAGAAGATCGAGGCCTAGAGAATGGATGTTGCATCCTCAGAAAAGGAGTCATTTGGTAGGGCAGGGCAAAAGTGGATCTGTTCACGTCGAATAAGAACCCGCTTTCCCCCTTTCGTTCTCCCTTTGTCCTCCGAAACCTCTTGGAGTAATTGCTCTGGCTTATGTGATGCTGATGACTGGTCTGTATGCCTTCCCGTCATTAAGTCTGTCGGTTCGTATGAGAGTACAGGAGGACATATCAGGAGAAGTATATCACTGCTGTCAGCACTGTTTTGGCCGTCCCACATATGGTTTTTGGACCTGGTGTCTCTCCTTCAGGAGATACAGATCAGAGTGGAGTCACTCTCCCAGGCTGGAGGAAGCATTTGGCAAACCCGGCTGGAAATGTGGAACATTGGAGTTTAGACTTTGAACAGGAGACTCTGGTTAGTTCTGGTTTTACAGAACATTGGTTGGCATGGAGATTACGGAGACCATACTGAATACAACAGTTCTACTGCCCTGTTCAGACACAGTATAAGCATAATGCAATCCTTTAAATTTATTTTGCAATCTTCAGTGTGCTTGAAGTACAGGCTATGATTAGGCTACTTAAGAACTCAATAAATTTGAAGGTGAAACTTGGACCCAACATGATGTCATGTGCAGGTTTTCTTCAGTATCTTCCTTCCTTTTGGGGATTTTGCATAGAGGTTACTGGAGACCATAGAGGAAGATGAAATCATGAAATTACATGAGCCGGATTCAAACTTAGTTTGCTGCGTAAGCACCACCACAAACAGAGTATGTGCAGTTTGTGCCACATCTCTGGCACAAAGTATTCATGTTAAAGATTACATGACAAATACAGAAATTTTGTGGCAATGACCCAACTCCTTGAAATACATAAGATTGATTGCTTTTCTGCTCACGCATGACCTCAAAATAGAAATATTTGTGGCAATAACTAAATGTGTGAAAATGTCTACTGATCCATAAGAATGATGACAGTATGAGCATCATGCAATCCTTTAAACTTTCTTTGCTGTCCATGAAATCATGTCATGTGACTGAGCCATTATGCAGCCGTTTAAATGTCACATTCCAGCTGACTCCATTTAAACGAAGTAAATGATTGGAGCGCACATGAGAGACTGTGAAAGTTGGCAATAATCCCATGCGTGTGAGTGAGATATGCATGACAAAAAAACAGAGAAGGAGAAAGACATGATAATCTAGAACATGATACACTGTTCAGAGAGGCAACTCTGACACCTTCATCTTCTGCATATCAACTATAAATAACTGTCACACTGCATCCAAGCCAGACGGCATGCATATTGAGCAATAAATCATATGGTTTGGTTTCTATGTGTGTTGATTAGGGAAGCTCCAAACATTAAAGTCTTGCTTCGCATAATTGTATCACAGTTATCAAATATGATGTGACTGGCCGTGATTGTGTTACTACCTGATGCATTTTGCTTTCCACGAGGCCAGTGGACATTAGACATTTGCTGCACTGTGGCTGGTTAGGGCAGCGGCAGATGCATTTGCAGCAAATATGTACAGCAGCTAATGCTTGACAGGCTATTGCAGACAACAGCCATGTGAGTGTGTTCACCTTGTCGGGGTGGTGTGTGTGTGGTGGGGCCATAGATGTTGTCAGAGGACAGAGAACCCTTGAGCGAGCAGGGCTGCTGAGTCTGGACCGGCTCCAGTGGTTCTGACACGGTGCTCAGCGTGGCTGTGCTGGATCCCACAGAGCTGTTACCCAGAACCGAGCTCTTGACCGGAGACCCCGACACACTGGAGCACGTCTCTGCTACAGGAGAACACAGAGGGTTGACAGTGACAAATCTGGCCTTTTATAGTGTGTGTTTACTTAGAGGATCCAACTTTCATACTGGTGGATTAAAATTTTAAAAGAATTTAGACAAATTAAAATACAAAGCTGCACAGGTTGCACAAAACTGGAGTACTTCCAGACTGCATATCTGGAAATAGTATTATATGTACAATTATTACTATAATTACTTTGCCAAGCCAACATGCTGATCTAAAATGTATGTTTCTACAGTATCTCATCCTAGAGCTTTCAAGCAATGATCACCAAACTTGGCACAGACCGTCAGGCTGTTCTGACTCTGGCTCTGACTAAATTATCAAACTTATAAAATTCTTGGTAGCAACTTCTGATATTCAGTCAAACCATAAAACATCTTGAGTTACGTATGTAACCATGGTTCCCTGAGAAGGGAACACTGCATCCTCAAGGGGTTGCTATGCAGAATGCCTTCAGCATGACTGTTGTCTGAAGCATACATCTAAACATGACAATAACATTGGCCGGGTGAAAGCCGACGTTATCACCCGGTGCGACCAAAGTATAAAATCCGCTTCTTTGTCTGAAGCTTACGTCCGAAGCATGGCAAGGGAACTAGAGGACGCAGTGTCTCGTTCCCTTTCGAGAGAACTTTGAACTGCGTCCTCTATGGGTTGCTATGAGGAACGGTATACCCACGCTGCCATGCAGAAACCATGGCGAGCACTAAGTACCAACTCTACCATAGGCATGGGAGTTGCCCCAAAGGACATCTTGACGGCTGTCAGTGACATTATCCCCTTCGGCCAAGGGCCTGAGCTGCATACCCTAAAATAACTTACCTGTTAAGGGCTGGGCTAGGAAGCCCAAGCCTAGGGCAGAGCTCAAGGCTTGTAATCAGAAGAAAGAGATTCCTTTAAGGGGATACGGCCAGGTCTCTACCAAGCCAACATGCTGATCTAAAATGTATGTTTCTACAGTATCTCATCCTAGAGCTTTCAAGCAATGATCACCAAACTTGGCACAGACCGTCAGGCTGTTCTGACTCTGGCTCTGACTAAATTATCAAACTTATAAAATTCTTGGTAGCAACTTCTGATATTCAGTCAAACCATAAAACATCTTGAGTTACGTATGTAACCATGGTTCCCTGAGAAGGGAACACTGCATCCTCAAGGGGTTGCTATGCAGAATGCCTTCAGCATGACTGTTGTCTGAAGCATACATCTAAACATGACAATAACATTGGCCGGGTGAAAGCCGACGTTATCACCCGGTGCGACCAAAGTATAAAATCCGCTTCTTTGTCTGAAGCTTACGTCCGAAGCATGGCAAGGGAACTAGAGGACGCAGTGTCTCGTTCCCTTTCGAGAGAACTTTGAACTGTGTGAAAACCATGGCGAGCACTAAGTACCAACTCTACCATAGGCATGGGAGTTGCCCCAAAGGACATCTTGACGGCTGTCATTGACATTATCCCCTTCGGCCAAGGGCCTGAGCTGCATACCCTAAAATAACTTACCTGTTAAGGGCTGGGCTAGGAAGCCCAAGCCTAGGGCAGAGCTCAAGGCTTGTAATCAGAAGAAAGAGATTCCTTTAAGGGGATACGGCCAGGTGTCTAAAAACCAAACCAGACCCTGGCCTACCACCCAGGGGGGCTACCGCCGGTTCTGAATATACCTGCTCAAAGAACTGACTCGACAGATCTTTGGTAGCAACATCCTGCTCAGAAATGTATCAACAGAGATACATAAGTTGAGAGGAGCCCAATGCGAGAACCGGTGCCTAAACCAACTCAGAGAAAGAGATGCCCCAAAGGACATCTTGACGGCTGTCATTGACATTATCCCCTTCGGCCAAGGGCCTGAGCTGCATACCCTAAAATAACTTACCTGTTAAGGGCTGGGCTAGGAAGCCCAAGCCTAGGGCAGAGCTCAAGGCTTGTAATCAGAAGAAAGAGATTCCTTTAAGGGGATACGGCCAGGTGTCTAAAAACCAAACCAGACCCTGGCCTGCCACCCAGGGGGGCTACCGCCGGTTCTGAATATACCTGCTCAGAGAACTGACTCGACAGATCTTTGGTAGCAACATCCTGCTCAGAAATGTATCAACAGAGATACATAAGTTGAGAGGAGCCCAATGCGAGAACCGGTGCCTAAACCAACTCAGAGAAAGAGAACGAGGCTGACAGCGCGTAACCCTTATCATACAGGATTTTAGAAAGTGCACAGAAAGCTTAGCATGCACACTTACCACAATGTGGATTTTAGAAAGTGCACAGAAGCTCAGCGTGTGCACATACCATAGGATTGATTTAGAAACACCGTTGCTTATTAAACCAGCCTAGGGGCCCTACGTGGCTGTGGTACGCTCACAGAACAGAATCCGAAGCATCTGCTCACAGATGCCCAGATAGGGAGCGGCGCGGTTGCAAGTGGCCCTTCATGGTGAGGGGAGCACAGCTAGCTCACTTAACAAGCAACCCGCCAGGGAGGCAGGAGATGGTCCAGCCACCTGTCATGATTGGTATCAGGAGCTCAAAAGAGCGGAGGACTAACTTCAAAAATAGAAGGGGGACTCGAATGCTCAGATCGAGAGGGGCGTGCTCATGAAACCCCCAAGGGCACTGCTAAGCTCGACCCAACCAAGAGAGCGTCTCAACAGGGAGGCGGAGAGAAGCCTGACAACCTGAGGCCGCTACTCAATGGAGCTTAAACGAGTGGAGGACTCGATGAGAGAAGTCCACAGATGCTCAATCGGCAGGCTCAAAGAAAACCCTCCGGGGTGAGGAGAGCACTGTCTGGCTTGACCCAAATAGAGGCAGCTTATCAGAATACCTAGTCAGTATCACCTCCCTCAAATCTTGCCTGACACATTAAGACCCACACCCCTTTTGAACCCTACCCGCAGGCGGGGGAGGGGCGCGAGTCGTGACACTAGTCTTCTGAGCCCGCCTTTGATCCTTAGATCAAGACGGTCCAGGACCCCTTTGTTGTTCGGGCTCAGACCTGGACCTTTGTGTAATGAAGGATTTGAAGGCAGCCGAGCGCATCTTGGCCTCCTTGAACTTCTCGACCACCGTCTCGACGGAAGTGCTGAAAAGCTCAGAAGGGGAAACTGGCGCTTCAAGAAGAAAGCCCTTCTCTTTTGACCCGATATCTGCCAGATTCACCGACAGATGTCTCTCCGTAACCACCATGGTCGCCATGGATTTGCCAAATTGCAGTGACGGCCTGTTTAGTGGCACAGAGAGCAAGATCTGTGGTGCAGCACAACTCAGCCACCTTATCAGGGGAAATACCCTGACCTTTATCCAGGTCTTTCAGCAGATCAGCCTGATAAGCCTGAAGCACCGCCATGGGTGCAACAAGGCTGCAGCCTGACCTGCTGCTGTGTATATGAATGAATGAATGATGCATTTATATATGTATATATATATATATATATTCTGCTGTGTATATGAATGAATGAATGATGCGCATTTATATATGTATATATATATATATTGCCCTGCCATTCAAGCGAGATGTATCATGAAGTAGGGGTGGGCGCTATACCGGTATGAAAGTGACTACCGGTATTATGTTGTTCCATGATATGGATTTTGCTATACCGTGGAAACAGTTATATATTCATGAATTAAAATTTAGCATTTATATTGTTTTGTTAAATTTGGTGCGCTTTACAAATTTTAACACAAATGACGATAAAGAGTTGAGGCTGAACATCTTTGTCCTCTGTGTGCAACGCCGTACTACACAGGCATTAGTAATCAAACACAGAGCATCGTAACAGACCAAATTAATAGAGCACAAATCGCCTACTCCAGTGGTTCCCAAACTGAGGGATCGTGTACAGTCAGCAGATTATTTAGCAAAAGAAACCTCTGCAGGGTGATAAAGACTACACTGCATAATTTTCCCTCTTATCATGCGGCCACTTGTCTGATAAGTAAACAATTGAGTGCAAAATATTAATTTGACATTTTATTACCTCAACATGACTCGCAGTACCCACTTGAGCGCTCTGTTATCAGTTGTAGAAGTTGTGGTTGTATCAATAACAGACCACTAGATGGCACGATTGAAGAATCAGAGTTGTATTGCAGGGAGTCATGTAGAAATATAAATGAACGATGTATGGTTCTGCTCTGAGAATGAAAGTTACAAGTTTGTGAAAGGACTTCCAGTGCCAGGTAAACATAAAGCAGATTATGAATATATTTAAAATTCACAAATACCAAAACAACTACACCAGATGCGAGCTGCGCGATTTGACAAAAGCAAATAGAACCCAGTGATGTTCTCTGCTGTGGATGCGACGCGACGAAACGCGACAAATCCATGACAGTAAACTGATGCCGCGTTCTATTTCTGACGAACTCCAGTGCTCTGACACAAAGGACCATTTCAAACATTCATAAGAGAATCATGAAAAAATAGTTTCTTCAAAAATATTAAGCAGCACAAATGTTTTCAACATTGATAATAATAAGAAATGGTTACTGAGCAGCAAATCAGCATATTATAATGATTTCTGAAGGATCATGTGACACTGAAGCCTAGAGTAATGATGCTGAAAATTCAGATTTGATCACAGGAATACAGTAACCTGTATGTAAAAAAATTCAAATAGATAATTTAAATTGACAATATTTTACAATATTACAGTGTTTATTGTATTTTTAATAAATAAATGTAGCCTTGCATTTTCAAGGTATATATATTTTATACCTTGAAAATATTTTTCTCTACAAAAGGGGGGCCCAGCAGAAAAAGTTTGGGAACCACTGGCCAACTCAAACACACACTATTTAATTTAATTTAAATTTAATTTAATTCATACAGGCCTACCTCATGCTGCATGTTTGCACTTTTTGAGAAAAACAATTGCACAATAAAAAAATACTTTTCAGGTCTATTGGACCCTCACTTTTTCTAGTTATATAAGGTTAAAATATTTTGCCTGTAATTTTTTCCCCCTCATATCGCAATATAATATCGATATCGCCTGGACAGTGTAAAATATCATGATATGTATTTTAGCTCATATCACCCACCCCTATCCTGAAGTGGTTTGGACGGCAGGGAGGGAGCCTTAAGAGAAGATGTCTCCCCCATAGAGAGATAGCAGGCCAGTGTCTCTTCAACAGGGGGCATCTTCTCATATCCATTCTCATGCATCCCCTCAATGTTGACATAACTAATATGCTGGAATCTATGAATACGAGATGAGAATGGATTTTTGCATTCCTTCTTGATCTCCACATGGAGATCGGGAAGAAATGGAAGGCTCATCAGAGCCGGAACGCTATGGCTAGAAAGTAAACGCTCGTCGAGGTGGCCTCGAGGCATCACTTTCTTGGCCCGGTTCCACGACGAGTCAAGCCTCGCCGTGGCACGATCCATAACCTCAAGCAGCTCATCATACATGGGGCAGGAGGATTGGGAGGACTCAGTCTCAACTTTTTCATCTTCATCTGACATCTGCTCATCCTGGCTTTGAGCCAGCAGAGCACTAGCCGCTGGATCAGATGATGTAAGAGAGATAGCATCGTCGTCCAGCAGCTCACTCTCGTCCGTGACTGATGAGTGCGAAAGGGAAAGACCCTTTTTTAACTCATCAGCCAGGTCCATCTGCAATCCCCACAAGCTAATTTTCCTCCGTGCCTCAGCAACGGAGGGTCCTGAACCACGGGGAGCTGATGACTGTCCCTCTTTCCTCAAAAAGAAAGACAAACGAGAGGGGAGCTTCTTCATAGAAAAAAAGCTTGCAGTGTGCGCAAACTGCCCCCTTGAGGACATCTCACACGTGCTCTTCACCCAAACAAAAGACGCAAAGATCGTGTGTGTCATCAGGTGTCAAATAATGAGGACACGGATTCACACACTTCTTAAACGCCTTACTAGTGCTCGCCATGGTAAAGAAGAGTAATCGTTCTTACCAGAAATGCACGCTTCAAACAAAACAGTCCTGAAGACGAAGAAGAGGATGACGAGTTCTCCCTGTGCCATTTTACACTGTGGTCACGCCGGGTAATGACGTCACAGGCTGTCACTGGCCAATGTTATTGTCGTGTTTAGATGTATGCTTCGGACACCAGTCACGTTGAAGGCGTACCCCATAGCGACCCCTAGAGGACGCAGTTCGAAGTTCCCTCGGAAGGGAACTTTAAATTATTCAATTGTCAACTTTCAAACAATTTTTTAAAATTATTATTAGCAGTGGTTGCTAAGGTAAAAATCACTATTACCACACACACACACACACTCATACCTAAAGTGATGCAGTTGGAAAAAAAATCACTAATCTTAAAAGTTAGACTTTTAAGACATTAACCACGCTCTGCACCATTGGTTCTTCAGGCATGAATAATTCCTCAAATCATGTGTCTTGTTGGGGAAAGCTGTACTATTACTTTAAGCAATCAAATGGACAATAAAATGTGCACTGTGGTGCCAAGTTTTGCAGACCAAACATCTACATTTTCTTTAGATACTAGTTACATTTCAAATGTACTTAATTTAACAGAAGCCAGATAGCATTCTGTTGGCCATGTTCCTCGGGGGTCCAAAATATAGTGGTACCACCCCTTCTGTGATTTTAAAGCTGGCACTCCGGCTCACACAAACTCTCGCATACATACTAGAGCTGTTGCTTCGGTTGTTCCTAAGCTGTTGCACCATGGGATTGAGCAGTCGGCTTCCCTTCAGCTTGTGTTTGGAGGCTCTGCGGCGGCGGCCTGTAGGTGGCACTGCATGCAAGAAGCCCATGCTGGGAGGAACCGGTCGACCTAACCGAGAATACAACTGCTCGATCTCGCCTCTCTGATGAGCCTGAAGCTCGGAGATCTCCTTCATGTGCCTGCAGACATCAAACACTGTGTTACGGTTTTCGTTCTCTTATTTAGTGAAAAGTGTGTCTATATGACAGGTATGATGACATCAGCCAAAAACTAAAAGTAAATTATTACAATTATTACATTGCGATGAAACATGAATGTGTACTGATGAATTGTCAGTGGAGTAATTTTACTTGATTACTGTACTTAAGTATTATTTTGGGGTATTTGTACTTTATTCAAGTAAAATTGAAACTGACTACTTGTACTTTTACTTTATTACATTTCTCAAGAAAAAAAATCTACTTTTTATTATTTTTTTAAATGCAAAAAATGTAATGGGCTGTATTTTTTGAGTTCCACTTTGCCGCATTTTAATTGTTGTTGATTAGATAGATGTTTTGACCTAGAGCCGTTGTTTTTTGTTTTCTCCCTTTAACCAAACCTGTCTGAAAAAAACATTTTATTCAGTGTATTTTTAAGCAATTTTCACTTTGCATTGAGAAGATGTTTCAACATGACGAAACAAGAAATCTCCTTTTTTATTTATGTATTTTGTTTTTGGCTAGCAGGGTTTCTGCAGGATTTTTAAGCTCAAATTTAAGACTTTTTTAAGACCTTTTTAAAGACCTGCACAAATAAAATTAATACCATATGAGCGGGGTAAGGCAATGTCTATAGTACCATATTAAACTGTACAATTACTGTAAAAAGCATAATTTACAGTTCAGATACAAGTTTTCACAAAAACAAAGTTTTATAAAATTATAAACTTTACATTTCAGCCTTTAAACCATTGTTAAGAAAATGGATAAGTCAAAAGTATGAATTATTATATTAATTTAAACAATTATTACCAATAAATTATTATATAAATTAAATAACATAAATTAGGGGTGTGCGATACTGTCAAAAAATCTCGATATTTTTCTGGGATTTTATCGATAATGATAATTGGATGATATTTTGCTGAGTGTGTTATTGTGCTGATATCTTAAGGACTGCTGTGGACAGCTGAATCCTGAATTTTTTGATATTCTTCATATTCTGTGTGGTCAGTTCACAGCAGTAATAGAAATGAATAATTTCCAACAAGTTTTATGGGCATTTTTACCTTTAAGCCATTTTTTTCTAAAAGTGTGCACCATCTTGTGAGTCAAATTCTTGCATTTGGGTTGTTACCAAGCAAATTAAATCAGTATCAACTAAATCTATCTTTGCAATGCAGAGGAGACACAGAAGCTGCATTAGAAGTGTCAGTTAGATGCATTTACACACTGTTTAATGCAGCTCTGAGGGACATGGAATACTTTAGCCTGCAGTTACAAATGCATAGCTAAATAATATTTTGATATTTCAAACATAAAACATTGAAAACTGATGTTTGAAATTATTTAAAAAAATGAAAAGGTACCTTAAATGTGAAATGGTTGAGGAGATTCCCCCTTCTATGTAAAGCGCTTGGAGTGCCCAGAAAAGCGCTATATAAATGTAAGGAATTATTATTAATTATTATTATAAATGTGAAATTAAAACCACCAGTAGGCGGCAGCAAGTCACTGTTAATAAGCGAGTCATTGCGAATTAACAGAATCATAAAAAACGGCATCCTGTTGCTCAGAGACGCAAAACAGCTTTGTGGCTGTTTGAAATTATTTTTGTTGGAGAAATAGAGCAAAAACAGGAAATATGGTGTCTAAAATGTATGTCTCTTAATATTAACTACTTGTTTATTGAACTGTTGTATAAAATCAATATCACATTTGTAATCATGCTTACTTTTGGAGAAAAAACGGCACTCTTCGTGTGACATTAACTATATGAAATTATATAAATATATACACGACGAAACGCGACAAATCCATGACAGTAAACTGATGCCGCGTTCTATTTCTGACGAACTCCAGTGCTCTGACACAAAGGACCATTTCAAACATTCATAAGAGAATCATGAAAAAATAGTTTCTTCAAAAATATTAAGCAGCACAAATGTTTTCAACATTGATAATAATAAGAAATGGTTACTGAGCAGCAAATCAGCATATTATAATGATTTCTGAAGGATCATGTGACACTGAAGCCTAGAGTAATGATGCTGAAAATTCAGATTTGATCACAGGAATACAGTAACCTGTATGTAAAAAAATTCAAATAGATAATTTAAATTGACAATATTTTACAATATTACAGTGTTTATTGTATTTTTAATAAATAAATGTAGCCTTGCATTTTCAAGGTATATATATTTTATACCTTGAAAATATTTTTCTGTACAAAAGGGGGGCCCAGCAGAAAAAGTTTGGGAACCACTGGCCAACTCAAACACACACTATTTAATTTAATTTAAATTTAATTTAATTCATACAGGCCTACCTCATGCTGCATGTTTGCACTTTTTGAGAAAAACAATTGCACAATAAAAAAATACTTTTCAGGTCTATTGGACCCTCACTTTTTCTAGTTATATAAGGTTAAAATATTTTGCCTGTAATTTTTTCCCCCTCATATCGCAATATAATATCGATATCGCCTGGACAGTGTAAAATATCACGATATGTATTTTAGCTCATATCACCCACCCCTATCCTGAAGTGGTTTGGACGGCAGGGAGGGAGCCTTAAGAGAAGATGTCTCCCCCATAGAGAGATAGCAGGCCAGTGTCTCTTCAACAGGGGGCATCTTCTCATATCCATTCTCATGCATCCCCTCAATGTTGACATAACTAATATGCTGGAATCTATGAATACGAGATGAGAATGGATTTTTGCATTCCTTCTTGATCTCCACATGGAGATCGGGAAGAAATGGAAGGCTCATCAGAGCCGGAACGCTATGGCTAGAAAGTAAACGCTCGTCGAGGTGGCCTCGAGGCATCACTTTCTTGGCCCGGTTCCACGACGAGTCAAGCCTCGCCGTGGCACGATCCATAACCTCAAGCAGCTCATCATACATGGGGCAGGAGGATTGGGAGGACTCAGTCTCAACTTTTTCATCTTCATCTGACATCTGCTCATCCTGGCTTTGAGCCAGCAGAGCACTAGCCGCTGGATCAGATGATGTAAGAGAGATAGCATCGTCGTCCAGCAGCTCACTCTCGTCCGTGACTGATGAGTGCGAAAGGGAAAGACCCTTTTTTAACTCATCAGCCAGGTCCATCTGCAATCCCCACAAGCTAATTTTCCTCCGTGCCTCAGCAACGGAGGGTCCTGAACCACGGGGAGCTGATGACTGTCCCTCTTTCCTCAAAAAGAAAGACAAACGAGAGGGGAGCTTCTTCATAGAAAAAAAGCTTGCAGTGTGCGCAAACTGCCCCCTTGAGGACATCTCACACGTGCTCTTCACCCAAACAAAAGACGCAAAGATCGTGTGTGTCATCAGGTGTCAAATAATGAGGACACGGATTCACACACTTCTTAAACGCCTTACTAGTGCTCGCCATGGTAAAGAAGAGTAATCGTTCTTACCAGAAATGCACGCTTCAAACAAAACAGTCCTGAAGACGAAGAAGAGGATGACGAGTTCTCCCTGTGCCATTTTACACTGTGGTCACGCCGGGTAATGACGTCACAGGCTGTCACTGGCCAATGTTATTGTCGTGTTTAGATGTATGCTTCGGACACCAGTCACGTTGACGCAAACTGCCCCCTTGAGGACATCTCACACGTGCTCTTCACCCAAACAAAAGACGCAAAGATCGTGTGTGTCATCAGGTGTCAAATAATGAGGACACGGATTCACACACTTCTTAAACGCCTTACTAGTGCTCGCCATGGTAAAGAAGAGTAATCGTTCTTACCAGAAATGCACGCTTCAAACAAAACAGTCCTGAAGACGAAGAAGAGGATGACGAGTTCTCCCTGTGCCATTTTACACTGTGGTCACGCCGGGTAGTGACGTCACAGGCTGTCACTGGCCAATGTTATTGTCGTGTTTAGATGTATGCTTCGGACACCAGTCACGTTGAAGGCGTACCCCATAGCGACCCCTAGAGGATGCAGTTCGAAGTTCCCTCGGAAGGGAACTTTAAATTATTCAATTGTCAACTTTCAAACAATTTTTTAAAATTATTATTAGCAGTGGTTGCTAAGGTAAAAATCACTATTACGTGTCAAATAATGAGGACACGGATTCACACACTTCTTAAACGCCTTACTAGTGCTCGCCATGGTAAAGAAGAGTAATCGTTCTTACCAGAAATGCACGCTTCAAACAAAACAGTCCTGAAGACGAAGAAGAGGATGACGAGTTCTCCCTGTGCCATTTTACACTGTGGTCACGCCGGGTAATGACGTCACAGGCTGTCACTGGCCAATGTTATTGTCGTGTTTAGATGTATGCTTCGGACACCAGTCACGTTGAAGGCGTACCCCATAGCGACCCCTAGAGGACGCAGTTCGAAGTTCCCTCGGAAGGGAACTTTAAATTATTCAATTGTCAACTTTCAAACAATTTTTTAAAATTATTATTAGCAGTGGTTGCTAAGGTAAAAATCACTATTACCACACACACACACACACTCATACCTAAAGTGATGCAGTTGGAAAAAAAATCACTAATCTTAAAAGTTAGACTTTTAAGACATTAACCACGCTCTGCACCATTGGTTCTTCAGGCATGAATAATTCCTCAAATCATGTGTCTTGTTGGGGAAAGCTGTACTATTACTTTAAGCAATCAAATGGACAATAAAATGTGCACTGTGGTGCCAAGTTTTGCAGACCAAACATCTACATTTTCTTTAGATACTAGTTACATTTCAAATGTACTTAATTTAACAGAAGCCAGATAGCATTCTGTTGGCCATGTTCCTCGGGGGTCCAAAATATAGTGGTACCACCCCTTCTGTGATTTTAAAGCTGGCACTCCGGCTCACACAAACTCTCGCATACATACTAGAGCTGTTGCTTCGGTTGTTCCTAAGCTGTTGCACCATGGGATTGAGCAGTCGGCTTCCCTTCAGCTTGTGTTTGGAGGCTCTGCGGCGGCGGCCTGTAGGTGGCACTGCATGCAAGAAGCCCATGCTGGGAGGAACCGGTCGACCTAACCGAGAATACAACTGCTCGATCTCTCCTCTCTGATGAGCCTGAAGCTCGGAGATCTCCTTCATGTGCCTGCAGACATCAAACACTGTGTTACGGTTTTCGTTCTCTTATTTAGTGAAAAGTGTGTCTATATGACAGGTATGATGACATCAGCCAAAAACTAAAAGTAAATTATTACAATTATTACATTGCGATGAAACATGAATGTGTACTGATGAATTGTCAGTGGAGTAATTTTACTTGATTACTGTACTTAAGTATTATTTTGGGGTATTTGTACTTTATTCAAGTAAAATTGAAACTGACTACTTGTACTTTTACTTTATTACATTTCTCAAGAAAAAAAATCTACTTTTTATTATTTTTTTAAATGCAAAAAATGTAATGGGCTGTATTTTTTGAGTTCCACTTTGCCGCATTTTAATTGTTGTTGATTAGATAGATGTTTTGACCTAGAGCCGTTGTTTTTTGTTTTCTCCCTTTAACCAAACCTGTCTGAAAAAAACATTTTATTCAGTGTATTTTTAAGCAATTTTCACTTTGCATTGAGAAGATGTTTCAACATGACGAAACAAGAAATCTCCTTTTTTATTTATGTATTTTGTTTTTGGCTAGCAGGGTTTCTGCAGGATTTTTAAGCTCAAATTTAAGACTTTTTTAAGACCTTTTTAAAGACCTGCACAAATAAAATTAATACCATATGAGCGGGGTAAGGCAATGTCTATAGTACCATATTAAACTGTACAATTACTGTAAAAAGCATAATTTACAGTTCAGATACAAGTTTTCACAAAAACAAAGTTTTATAAAATTATAAACTTTACATTTCAGCCTTTAAACCATTGTTAAGAAAATGGATAAGTCAAAAGTATGAATTATTATATTAATTTAAACAATTATTACCAATAAATTATTATATAAATTAAATAACATAAATTAGGGGTGTGCGATACTGTCAAAAAATCTCGATATTTTTCTGGGATTTTATCGATAATGATAATTGGATGATATTTTGCTGAGTGTGTTATTGTGCTGATATCTTAAGGACTGCTGTGGACAGCTGAATCCTGAATTTTTTGATATTCTTCATATTCTGTGTGGTCAGTTCACAGCAGTAATAGAAATGAATAATTTCCAACAAGTTTTATGGGCATTTTTACCTTTAAGCCATTTTTTCTAAAAGTCTGCAGCATCTTTTGAGTCAAATTCTTGCATTTGGGCTGTTACCAAGCAAA